ATTCAGCCTCCCGGAACTTTTCAGAATACAGCTTTCGGGCGAAATCTTGCCGCGACATGTTTCTGTGTGCGATGTGTTGAGGGTCGTCCAGGGCACTCTTTATCATTTCGTCCGGCCAAAGAAGTGGAAAAGGCATCGGGTAATGATTGACCTGCCACGGCGCAGCTTGAGCGAACTCCCAGTCGATAAGGCCCAGGAAGTTGAATTTGTCGTCAACTATGATGTTCTGCGTGCCGAGATCCATGTGATTGAGGGGATAGCATGCCTGTGATTCCTTGAAGAGCCCAGTATTCCGTACGATGTCGATAAAAACCAGCGCCCCGAGTCTGCTAAAGTGTGAGAGGTCTTGATCGTGGAGACCTGCCTTACGGAGGGCAGCTTCTCCGGTGGCAGTGAAGTATTCGGCTGCCGTGGAGAATGGCCCTTGAGGAACGAGGCCCTCAGATGCTGATATGGACAACTTCCCAATGACAGGATCTCCCGATTCCGTCACATCAGAGATGGAACCGATTTGAGGAAATGCCAAAGTTGCGAGCTGTGCTTGGACCATTGTCCACTGAGCCATAATGTGCTTTTGGGTTGCAACCTGTGCCTGGTAAGATAGGATTCAAGTCGAGTGCTGGTTGGAAAGCGAGAGATGCGAAGGCGAGGAACGTGGAGCATAGAAGGCAACAGCAGGGGGTGTTCACAGACCGGCAAACTGCACAAATCGGGTGCAACATCCTGCAGGGTGTTGCCATTGAAGCCTTCCAACAGCATGTAGATGGCACCAGCATCGGTGGCAAGTTGAGATCCGGGGCCTTCGTAGGCGTATACTTTTGGAACAACCACAGCTGGGAGGTTCTCATCCACGAAACGCATCGTCGATATTTCGCACGCGATTGCGTAGTTTTCGTCTTCCTCCGTAACTGTTGGGAGGATATCGGGATGCCGAGGCAATCGGACACGGGCAATCACCAGGCTACCGTCCTCGGCGACCATCTCGAAACAGATCCAGGATTGTCCTGCTGAAAAAGGATCGCTCATTGCGAGCTTCTGGCCTTTGATGCGCTCAGCATGGCGTATAAGAACATCTTTATCGAGAGTGTCGAACGACCTCAATAACCGCTCTTTCATGCCGTTGTATTCCCAATTCTCGAACGAAGTCCATCTCGCGCTCGGAAGGGAATTCGAGGTTTTTTGTAGTTGCATGTGTGGGTGGCGTGGGGTTTTCGCGCTGTATTGGTGTCGAAATGGTCCTTTTGATCCTCTGCCGGGTAGAGAGGCAGCAGCTTGACGACGGGGAAGCGACCAACAAGGATGTAGGTTTTGAAAGCTGGACTGGACGAGGGCGAGGAAAGGCGGACATGTAAGGTCTGTGCCATGAAGGAGAGAGCGTGGGTTTCGTCTGTTGTTAGTCAGCCATCCTAGCCACGATACTGAAGCTGTCATTTCAGCCACATCGCGGGGTAGCCATATCTTCAGCCACCAAGCGGCGGGCAAAGTTCCTACGGGCGCCAGTCTCATGGATGCTGTGCCGATTTCGACGACCACCGATATGGGCCGTGAGGCGTGTCAGGGGTTTCGAAAACCCCGTCGTTCACTGTTTGTTGGTTAGCAACTAATTACACCTCCACCTCCCTGGTGTTGCCGGTCGATCTAGACGTCATACATGAATTAACAACACGGGCTTTGTCGGACTGTTGCGTAGTGCACGGGCTCCAGTACTGTTCTGACCAGAAAGGCCGATTGACTGAAGTTCCTACGACGGGCTCAGATCCATTTGCGCCTTACGAAGTATTTCTCTCATTCGCGCGTACAACCCTTGGTCCTCCATCTCCCACCTCCCACCATTTGGAAACATAACTTTTCGTAACCTGTTGACCCACGGAACCAGTGACTCGTAGTATGATGTACAGTTTCCTTTTATGATCCTCAGAAAGTCTCCTTCGTTGCTAACCAACCCCGTTTTGGAAGTTGCCAGCTCCTCCGTGTCGAAGTAGTTCCACTTGTCAAATCTCGCGACGACTCTGCCCTCATCTGGCCCGGTGTAATGGATGCATATCCAGAACAAAACCCAGAAGAAGGACTCAAGGTCGTGCATGAAGGAATGCTGCTCGCCCAGAAGGGCCCCAATCGCCATGAAAGCCCTTGTACCTGTCTTTCCTCTTGCCCCTGAAGCACCGTCTCGTTGCTCTCGGATGGCAAGGTCAAGGTCGATCAAAAAAGAGGGCCACGAAGAGTTCGTGTCGTCCTCGTTGATCATCAGATTGTTAATCGAGATGTCTCGGTGAAGCAAACCTGCCTTGTGCAAGGACTCATGCCCTTCGATGCAGCCCTCTAGCGCGGCAAGCAGAACCGACGGGGAGCTTGCCTTGTAAATAGCTTTTCCGTAGTCGCGTAGGATGACCCGCCTATGTACTCGATTGGGGATGGCGTGGCTGCCTGCTTTTGTTGGAGATGCCGAACAGGACCGTTTACTGGGTGGTACGGGGGCACCCGTCTGGCTCGAGGACCGCTTCACTCCGATAGTACTGCTTCGACCTGTTCGTGAAGGGCCTATTACACTCATGCTCTGCGGAATGATAGATCGTTCTGATTGATAATTCTTCGCCTCAGTAGCATCCAGTCCCCTTCGAGTATTGCCTCGAATGTCGTCAACTTCGTCACGGACAACCACGGTCTCATGGTGGTAGTACCTAGCGACGTTGACTACATCTTTGCCGGTCGCCTCTTGGAGTAATTCGCCTTCCTCGTCACGCTCCACGAACTGCCAGGAGTCCTTGATGACGATTGGCGACTGTGGGTCTTCTTCGCAGTGCGCTTTCCAGCAAGTCGTAGCCCGGCCGGCGACGCAAGGCGCGCGTTTCATTAATTGGTCGATGACGAGCCTCTCTGTTTGTCCGTTCCGTGTGATCATGATGAGCCGTTTGCCGTTCTCTGTAATGATCGTAGGGTCAAAGCCAAGCTCTTCCTCATCCATCCAGAGGAACCCAATGATCGTGGAGACAAACTGCAGCCCGTCGTGATTAATATCAAACCGTTCAGACGCGATCCCGCCGAGCCGGTCAAACATCCATATCCTCATGAGCGAACCGCAAATGGTAAAGCCCAAGACGAAGCGACGGGTGTCTTGAGCAGTGAGAACTTCCCTTGCGTATCTCCCCAAATCAAGCCATGCTTTGGAGGCGATATCGGCAGATGGATTGCTCTTCAGCTCTCCAGGGACGAGTATCTGCGACCAGCAACATCGAGAGTCGCTTCTTGCTTGGGGGTCATTCACGAACCCAACGTCCAGCTTGCGCTCTGCAGTAGAACCGTGGATCGGCTTGTTGGGCTGTGCCAACGGCCTCCGGCCGGTCAGAGTGGGTTTGTACGATTCTGCGAAGGCCGCCAGCTTATCGCTGATGTCCGCGAACCAGCTAAGCACACCGTCTTGATTCGCATCACTCGGCCATCTGGTCCACCCCTCGCGAAATAGAGGGTTGCTGCCTTCCTCGCACTTCTCGAATATTGCCCGAGACGCTGTATCAAGATCGGCCACACGTCCGAAATATGTCTTGTGGAAACCAGGGAGCCCGACATGCATAGTACCGAGCTCTTCCCTGAGCACAAGGTCCATGTACTTCCGATGCTCGGACGAGTTCGCAAAGCCGCTCGTGTTGCGGAGCCACGGAGTTTGTTGAAGAGAGGATGCTATTGATCGGGGCGGCGGGGTGGCTTCGGCAACGGTGTTGTAGACGTGATCCCAGATCAACGCGTCGTCAAGGGTATCGGCTAGGGATGCTTTGAAAAGTGGTTTGATGCGGTCGAAATCGAAGTCATCGGAGTTGACAGCGGAGCTGAGTCTTGATAAGTCGCTAAATAGGTTCTTCCCTCTCCCACCTGAGCGAAGCAGACGAGACGCTTGGCAGCCTTGAAGCGCCAGGATGAGATCGAGAGCTAAGTTTTGGAATTCTGTAAGGTCAGTAGTGTAGGATCGGTAGGGTGGATTGTTTTACCATCGTCAGTAAGCTCGCAAAGCGAGTCCAGTGAGGGAGGGATGCCCTCATTTTTACAGGCGGCCTTGAAAGAAGCGCGAAAGCCCTCAAGTCCGGTCTTAATGGGGTTGTCCTCAATGATCTTTGGCCGACGTTGATCTGCCATGGTGGGGGGGTTCAGGCGTCCGGGGGGGTTAGAAAGTGAGAATTGGCGCGACGTATCACAAGGATGGAGCTGTCAGCGCCCATCGTGGCTCTAGACAGACACGTGACTTCCAGTCGAGGACCGTCACTTCACCAGGAGTTGTAGCTGGTGTTTGCTTACTAACACGCTAGGCAGAAAACAGCATATTCATGGCCACGCTTTGAGCCAATGCGGTCTGGGAACGCTACAGGGTATCAGCGCGATGTAATTGGCTGGACGATGGCTTCAAGAACCTCACTAGTTACTCGATAAGGCGTATCACTGGCAAGGAACCACTGCGTTCCCCGCTATGGTTGAGATTCCAAATCACGTGTTCATCACTGCTATCACACGTCAGGTGCATCATCACTAAATGCTCAATCTCACATTGTGTCCTGATGACCATCCAGTCAGGTCGTGATGCATATATATACCGAGCCTGGAGGTCATGAAAAGCGCTAAGACAGACTCCACCACACGACCATCAACACAGGTTATCGCCTTCATTCTCCGAGCCCTCTACGAAAGGTATCTCTTCCTCTTTGCTTAGGCAAATGGCGCGTACAAATAGATTATTATGAATTCCACTCTGCTTCTCCTCTCATTTGACCAGACACAGTCCCCGTGACTAGAAGTAGCTGAAGAGCAACCCTGGCAATACGGATACAGAGTCCAGACGGGGGTCAAAATACCATTTCGACTCAATTTTTGGCCAATTTCAAAGTCTTATTACAAGCGCTTGGGTCGTCTTCCTTTGTGCTGACACCCCGTTGCTTCTCTCAAGTTCACACCACTACTGCGCCTGTGACATGCATTTGCGACAGCCTCACAAGCCAACCCCTGGTGAATGTCCGAGCTCAACCACCAGTCTGACCAGTACCGGCAGCGCCAGGCATGTGTTGCTTAGCGAGCGTAACACCTGGCCCATGCCGGTGCCCGAAAGTCGAGTCTGTTCCAGCCGTCGCAGCGTGAGTGCCAGGCTCCATTGCTGATCGCTCAGGGGTGTGCTCTTGGAGGTCGGCGTAGTGAATGCTGACAGCTTTGAAATCCTGGGAGACCTGTTGAAGAGAGTCTTCGCCAAAATGACCACCAGCTTGCTTGAGTCTCTTGCCAACGGCTCGGTTTTTGCCGTTGATCGTCTTGCCATCTGTTGATACCATGAACTGAATCGTGTCGTCGCCTTCTGCATGGTTTTCGATATTGCTGACTTGCGACTCCAATACAGAATCGACATTCGAGCAGAGGCCCAGGCACTGTCTCAGAGTATTCGCTTGTCTCTCGAGGTCATCGAGCGAGGTCTGGTCTTGCGCTGACATGGGTGTTTTCAAGCCGCTTACCAGGCTGTCTGCAATCTTCTTCCGATGCTGCTCAAGCTGTCGAAGTGTGAAGTGCATGTGATGTTTGATCCCCTCGACTCCTTCACCGAACAACATTTGGGAGGTTGAGACCTGGGCCTGGGCGCTTGCTGAACTGCTATCGCTCTCAAAGAATTCGACCTCGGTCTGTTCAATCGCCTGCAAAAGTGTGGCACAGAATTCGAGACCCTTTTTGGTGCTCTTTTCTTCCTCCTCCATGTGCTGGCGAGTGGTCACGTCGAGAATCGGACCGGCAGCAGCGCGATGGGTCAAAGTGTCGAGCTTTTGTTGAATGTGGTCTAGATGGGCTTCAAATCAACTGTTGTACTCGCGATCAACTCTCGACAGGCATGTATAGCCTGGGTGCTCGTAGCAGACGTGCGGCTGCGAAGGCACATTTGTTAGCCAAGTTAATCTAAGTAGAACAGTGTACTGACAGATTCGCGAAGCTTATGACAACTGTGATGGTGGAGTTGTGTCTAATCAGCTGCTGCCGAAAGCCTTCCAAACCATCGCTCCCGTTGAACTTCAGTTTAGCCCAATCGCGGAAGCTTGTCCGGTCAGGGCTAGAGCGTGAGCAGGAATCAAGCAGCTGGGCTTCAACCTCATCACATGACTGTCGGCACTGTGTAAGCGTGAGTGTGAGAGCTGTAAGATCAACGTCAAGCTGGAGATCGCCGGTCTCAGAGAGCTTTCGAAGGACCAAATTCAGGCTTGCGAGCTCCGTGAGGAGCTCTCGAACTTGATGTGGATGGGAGCGGATGTCTTTGATCGTTTCGTAAAGCTTCGCGCTGGACTTCAGGGCAGAAGCGGCCAGGGCTAGAACGCCAGAACTCAACCCTACGATCTCCGCCATTTTGACGATAATATTCGCGGTGTACACAAGGATGAAGTTTGAGAATGCATCGGAAGAATCAACGAGGTGGAACACGGAACAAATACAGCAATGCAAGCGCCCAAGAGGAATGAGGCTGTTGTCCCGATATTGCCGCGCGGTTAGTGTGAGCGTTCATCACGATAGCCACGAGCGTAGCAGAAGCGGAGGCTCACATCGTCAGTGCACCAGAGCGATTCACGAGAAGGGCTATCAAGCTTTGGACGGATCTCCACGCACTGCCCGAGACCAACCCGCTTCGAAAACTGACTGCTCGCATGCGGAAGTTCAGGCGTTTCCACCGCTCACCATTTTTCCAACTGGCAACTGCGCTCAACGAGATTCCAATGGAGAATCTGGAAACCATCAACCCATTCACACTTCCGCCGTGGATGGGAAGAATGTAGACAATTGCCGAATGGAAAGACGACCTAATATTATCGCGTGCCGACTAGGACGCGATGGTGCGTATCGCCGTCAGCAGCTCGGCACGAAACGAGCTGGTTGGGGTCGGCGGCGTCATCGAAGGACCAGGAATGGTGCCCGAGACGTTTTCATTCACCCACGGCATGAGGACCGATTAGAACCCATTTTTCGGAGAACTCGTGGCTGTGGCGTACGCGCTGCGGCTTCTGCCACACCTAAGGGGCCAAAGTGTATTGTTACTGAAAAGTAACAGGGCCGCGGCGCTGACACTTCGAAACCCCCGTCAACAATCTGGACAAGAGTACGTTCGCTGCATCTACGAAGCGGTCACTCGACTTCGAGAGACCGGGAACATCATCACAGCCGTTTGGCTCCCTAGTCATCTCGAGGACGACCTCCTGAAGAACGCGAAAGGAGAAGCACGCAAGTGGAGCCGAGAGGGCGCCTCACCAGAAAAGCAATCCACGAAGATGCGGTCCACCACCCTAATGCTGCAAGACGCAAAATACGTGTAGAGAGACGGCTACCAAATAAGGTAAGAAAACTCTCGAAGCAGATAGATTTAGCCCTACCTGGCAAACACACTCGAGAACTGTACGACAACCTCTCCTGGATAGAAGCGAGCATACTGGCTAAGCTCAGGACGGGCATGGCGAGACTGAACGCTTCACTCTTCCGAATCAGAGCAGTACTTTCGAATCAATGCGCATGCGGGCAAGCGAGAGAGACGGTGGAGCACTTCCTCCTCCGATGCACATGGGCAACACAACGTGCCGAGATGCTCCTACGAGCTGACACACAAAGAGAGATTGGCGTCTGGGACCCTTGTCAGGGATCACGCATTCTCCAAGCGGCCCGTGGCCTTCGCAAAGCGTACACACACACAAGTTTATTACGCCTGTTGGCTGGCAAGCCAATAAGGCACTATCATACTAATACATGGTTTCTCCTGCCGTGATGTACCGTTTCTCAGTATCCCCTACCTTCTATCTTCCCGCTTGTCCTTGCAGTTCCCTCGTTCGAAGGTGTTCCCGTGGTTTTAATTGTATTAGCAGGCATGCTTGAAGGCGATTCTCCAAGTGTCCAGAGTCCTATCTACGGCGACTGAAGCGACGCTTGCTATTTGAGACACGGGGGTGGGGGGTTAGTGACGTGTTGGGCCCAGTCCTGGGATCACGCATTGTCCAGTCGGCTGGTGGCCTTGACAAATCGTATCGTCGCTCTGACTGCTTGCATGTTTGGCTTCCAGTCTTCTCCATCCGATCGGGCCTTTCCTCCGAGATAGAAAGATACATTGTTGCTTTGCGTATCAAGGCAGTGAAGGATCTCCGCTCGCTGTGTCGTCCACTGCGTGCATCTCAGTAAATAGTGCTCTACCGTCTCAGTTGCTTGTCCACATCCGCACTGGTCGGAGGGCACCGCCTTGATCTGATGGAGGGATCCATTGAGCCGCGACTTGCCAGTCCTGAGCTGGGCCTGAATGCTTGCCTCCATCCAAGTACAGTTGTCGTACAGGGTCCGAACGTGCTGGCCGGGGAGTGCAATGTCGATCTTCTTCGAGTATTTCCCGACGTTGTCGGGGAGCTTTCTCTCTTGGCGCAGTGTTGACCTCGCTGTGCCGAGGACTGTGGATCGCATGTTTGGGAACTGAACGACGTCGGTGGTGCGCTTGCCTGGCTTGCTTTCCGCGCTTCCTCCTTGGCGACTTTCAGTAAGTCATCCTCTACGTCCGTGGCGAGCCACAGGGTTGTTACTGTGTTCCCATCTGTTCGTGCCTTTCAGTTTCCTCGCAGATGCATCGCGCATACTCCTGGGCCGATTGCTGTCGAGGATTTCGAAGAGTTAGCACAGCAGCCTTGCTGCGCGTCGCCAGCGCTATGTCCCGGTGTCTTGGTCCACGCAGTGACCTCAAGGCATACGCGGCGGCCGCCAGCTCCCCCGCGAACACGTTTTGTCCACTTCGCTCGCCGAGAAGAAATGAGAACTTGACCAGCTTGGGGCCTCCTTGTGACACTTGAGGCATCTCGACAACGCCTCCCACGCCTACCAGGTCGTTGCGCGCGGAGCTGCTCACCGCGATTCGTACATTTCCGTCTCGATGAGCTTCGGACCATGGCTCCACCTCAGCACCGTCGACTATGGTGTTTATCCGTTCGGTCCATGGTGCAACGGCGAAAGGAGCAATGGTCTCGAGTTCATCCACCGGCAGGTTCTTGAGCGCAGTGGCCACCTCGAAGAACGGAGACCGGAAAACCCGCCGAAACTTGCGCATCTGTTTGCTCAGCTTCCGCAAAGGGTTCGTCTCGGGTAGCGTGTGTAGGTCCGTTCAGAGCTTGGCGGCTTTCCGCCGGAAGCGTTCCGATGTGCTGGGGATGTCGGCTTCTGCTTCGGCCACGGCCGTGGCCACTGTTGCGAACGCGCCAATGATGGCCTGCGCGCCCATCTTTTGCACACGGTTGACGGCTGCTGCTATCCGATCCTTACACCGGTGCCTCCAGACGCTGGAGGCGTAGTCCACTGCCGGCGCCACCGTGCTAACAAAGAGTCGTCGTGCCGTCGCCGGTGTCAGGCCTCGAAGACGCTTTAGCTCCATAGCCGCCTCCAACCCCTTCGTGGCCGCGCTCGCTATGTGTTCCTTGTACCGAAGTCCGATGTCCATGATCATTCCGAGGATCTTGACGTGTTGTTTCAGCTCCACAGTCTGGCCCTTGATGGTAAAGGGTTCTGGGTCGCCCTTCTTCGCCCACCGAGTGAAGTGGATGATCGCTGTCTTGTCGGCTTCGAATGTCGCTCCGCTTCTTCTCTCCCACTCCAAGGCCTCTTCGATGACGGTCTTGATTCTTTCTCGGTTGTGCTTCGTGCTTGGCCCGGCGACCCATGCCGTAAAGTCATCAACGAAGGCTACAGCTCCGCCATAGCAGTTGATTTTCCGTTGCACCAGGTCTGCGTTGAAGAATAGCCCGTGTCCGCGGACTTATCTGACCAGCCTTTGCAGGAAGGCTACGATGGAATACCGTTGATCATCAAAAGCAGGCTAGTCAATTGTGGATTCATCAATTTTGGAGAGACAGCAAGCGTGAAATCACTGCTGAACGAAATCTACAAGTATCTCAGGTGGTGGGAAGAAGCTGTCTGTATGTAATCCTCTCAAAGGTCGTATTGGATGGGTCGTCCTCGTACGGCTGTTATGTTGCTCCAGGTTAAAGAAGGTGCGGGCGCGGGCAGGAAATCAGAGGTTTAGTGGCCGGGGGTACCAGCTGGAATTGTCAGTCTCGAACATGGCTATGACGTTCGCCGCTCACCTAGCAGCTGGCTGATGATGTCCCCTCAGGTCTAGTCCATCCAAATGATCTCGTCTCCGAATAGAACCATGGAAGCACTTTGCGGAGGACGCCCCTGCTTCCATGAAACTCCATGTAGCCTTGCGAAGCAAACGCTTTCGACGCATCGCTTATAGGGGTTCCTGATGACAAAGGACGATGGAATGATTCATGGCTGCTGCCGTCCTTCATTTGTTGAAGGCTAGCCTAAACCCGCCTGCGTTGTCATTGGCGAAGCACTCAAGCTATTCTACATCGCTTTCTTTCTTCTCACATCCAATTGAGGAGTAATGTGATGACCGATAATAGCAGCATTCATTGTAGTCATATGGGCCACAGCCTTGCCGCCAGAGTCGCGAGTCCAATACCAACCACGGTACTACACTCGGCCCCGCCACTCGTCTCATCGTATCGCACAGACATAACTCCCGTAGAAGTCTGGAAATACCTGGAGCCACATTGTCTAGAGCATAGGGGGAGGGTACATTAGCCATAAATCGAGCCACACTGGTCAGATCTTGGGCCTGCCGAAAGGAGTGGTAGGGGGGGTCCGGTGAGGAAAGCCTGAGACACACAGAGGCTAGAGCAGGGGTAAGTGGCACATCACATCCGACCCTAAGGCGCATTTTACAGTAGGGGGGCAGGGGCTTGCAGGGGTTCTCAGACTCATGGCGTTGACTGAATCAGTGAGCGTGTATGGGCTTTAAGAACATACCTGGCACCTTCTGTTGGTAGTTCCATCCTCGGACGGCAGGACAGAAGCACGTCACGTTGCCGCAAATCCAGGTCGCTTGATTGAGTTCTTCAGGTAACGTCTTCAATACACCTGGGTATAAATGTAGGCGCCGGTGCTCATTTGAGCACCATGATTTAGAGTACGAATCGTTCGAACCAGTCGGAGCCATGGCTTCCCAACCTCTCTTTTGCAGACGATTTGACTTTATATGTCAACGAATAAGCCAGGTAAACCCCTGGATATCTGTCATTAGTTCACGTTTTCCTGTACCCGTAATTTGTTATCTCCACTACGATGGCGATGTTTTGTCAACCTCGGAATGCCATCGGAGCTTTTCTCAGAATTCGGAAGCCGGGCCGGCTGTAGTGAGCCGCCAGAAAGTTCAGGTTTTAGAACCCGCGACAAACTTGACAAAGGGACCCAAGAGCTGTACGTTTGTTTGAGACACTCTTTCATGAATGCATGCTAACACCTGTACATTAGTACCGTTCAATTTCTGT